GGAGTTTCCTTTGAGGACTACGGTGCACCTCACCATGGCGTTTTCAATGTCATGGTGTGCATTTGAAAGTTGGTATCGAATAAGGAAGGCTGAAGAAGAAGTGGTGCACTTGAATTGTATTGGTGGAGAAGACTACTGAAACTCCATGGACTGCCAACAAGGCAAAGCACTCTCTTTTGGAAGAAGGACAGCCAAGTGGTTCTTGGAGATAAGGCTGGTGATACTTTGTCTCACATATTTTGAACATTTTCACGAGAGAGCAGTCCCTGGTGAAAGACATTTTGTTTGGGAAGCTAGATGTGCAACGAGAAAGAGAGACTGTCAGCAAGATGGTTTAGCACAGTGGCCATGGCAATGGGCTCTAGCACAGGAACAATTGTGAGGATGGTGCAGGACAGGGCGGTGTCTCCTTCTGTTGAGCATAATGTGCCTAACGGTTGGAACTGAATACAAAGCACCTAACAAACAACAACAATGTATTCAGATAATAAAATGTTTAGATATAAAAAATAAAAACACTGACATCAATTTGAATCCAACTCACCTTACTAGGTTTTTCTGAGGCTGTATGACTTTTCTCCTGTGAAGCAGCAGGTGGGGTACCCATGTGCCAATGAGCAGCCAGCACTGAGTACCAACTTGTAGTTGGCAGCTGACAGTTCCCCCAGGACTCCCGGGAAGGATAACACTTAATGGAACCATCGGCAAGTCATGTGGAACACTCAGGAACAGTTTGATAGATGTTAAATGCAAACATCACTAATAATACTTAACATTTATTATTAAGCTCTTAGTAAGTGCTAAGCATGTTGTGTAAAGCTCCCATTAAATACTCAAAAAAATTGTGAGAATGCTTCTGATATTCATTCCAAATAAGGATGAGCAGTCAACGATGTCTAATAAGTCAGTGTTCCTACCAAATATAGGGGGTGAAACCACGAATTAAGCTCATTTCCACAAACTCCTTCATTGTAAACAAGCATTCAATAGGGCAATTTATGTTTCTAGAAGAGTTCAGCAATTTACATTCGATATTTGATAACATACATTTTCTTTTGATGTATGCCACTGTTTGTTTAATAACCATAAAATAAGAGGAGGTCCCTCCCGATTCCTTAGCCCTCAAACCTAACAGTAGTCTGAGCGGCTTAAAGAGAAAAGGAGGGAGGTGAAACTGAAATGGACTTGGAGTCTGGTGACAAGTTCACTTCCAACAACAAAAAAACAATAAGAAGAGGAGGTACTCTTATGATAACTCTTCTTTTCTTCTGATGGACAGACTAGAGTAAGTGCATATGGAAAAATCAGAGACTTGTGATCAGGTAGGTCACAGAGAGATGTGTAGAAATTGGGAAAGCCGAGTCACAGATTGTGGGGAGACAGTGCTATTCAGGGTCAGTTTGCACAGCATATGGCTCACTTTGAGAGTTCCTAACTTCCCCAGAGACCAGAAGACTTACAGACAACTGCAGAGGTGTTTTTTGAGCATGTGGTCTCAGTACACTAATTTGATTAATGTTTATATTTCAGGGGAAATGATACTGGGTGGCTAGTAGTATTTTGAGTAATAATCATCCTTGGCATGATATTTTTGTTTTAGCAAATCAAATGCCCAGATTTAAAAAGGCAGGATTCGATTCTTCCATTATTGTTCTGTAATAAAAACAAAAAACCTGTGCTCTTAGTTATTTTTTTTTCATTTCAATATGCCATACAATTTTCTACTGTTCACAAAAGTAACGCTAAATAATTAAATTATTTTGCTAGTCACTGTGAAATTTACATGTGTCACTGGAGGAAAAGTGATTAGAGTGTAATGGGTGTAGGGCAAAATAAGAAAATAAAAACAACCCAAAACTCTTCTTGAAGGCAATATATGGATGAGATAACTGGTAGAGTCAAGCACGTTCTTTGGTAGTAGAAATTGCCCATGTTATAGAATACATGGATAGTTCTGCCTGAATTTTTGCATCACTTCAGACTTTTTCCCATTAAGATCAAGAATCTTGAGCCAGATCTTTTTCCTTGTAGTAACAAAGCTATGTCATCCTTTAAAATCATTTTCTGGCAATGAGCATTCCAGAACAATTAGCTAACAGCAGGGTCTTGTTAAATTAGCAAGAAAACAAGATGGAAAATCTTTAGAAGTCAATACCTTGAGGGTGCTTCCCAGAGTGTCTGTGTACTGGTTAATTACAAGTAGAAGGATGATGTCAAATGTAAATAGAATATACACAACAATCTCTGGTTCATTGCTGAGTTTCACAGGAAGCAAACATTTGCTTGACATCCATATTCTTAGGAATTTTTTATGTTGCTGTTTCTTACCCATGACTGAAACAAACAAATGGTTTAACAGCGATATTATCAATTAATATAACCTAAGGCCATCCAGAGATAATGAATTGAATATCAGCATTGAATATATCCTTCTAAGTTCCAATTTTTTCTTTTATTAGAACAATAAGCATTCACCTTGAGATAAAGCTAACAACATCAGGGAACTGTCAATTTAATTGTTATCATGGTGTGTTTGTTTATTGTGACTAGTGTACTTTCCAGAAAGTTTCAATTCAAAGGGAAATCCTGTGCTGTTAGAAGCAGAAAGTTGTTTCATGTCAATTTTTTTCAGGTGCTGGCAGCACCCTGTGTACGTGAGAAAGATAAGAGATGAAAGAACAAGAAAAAATAAGAAGCAAGAAAAAGTGGAGCTAGGCAAAAATTCCACAGTGCAGAGCAATTAGCAATTGGATTATATATATATAATTTTTTTTAAAAACAGAAAATTGAAAATGCTGAAAAGGGATAATATAGTTTAAAGGAGAAAAATGACATACAGATTTGGAAAAAAACATTTTCAGAGATAAACTTTGCTCATTGTTTAAGTAGCTTTGAAACTAAATGTATTCAAGTTTTCAGAAAAAATGAAAGTAAAACTACAAACTCTGAAATATTTATGAAAACAAAATAAATACCTTGGTGTCAAAATCGCTCTAGTTAGTTGTTTTCTGTTTTTCACAATTTCGACTTCAAATGTCTTTTGTATACTGGGATAATTTAAATGTATCACATAATCATCACAATGTTGTTGATACAATATCAATGTAGTAATTTCAACCACTGATTTGATATAGCAAAGAGGATCATATAAAACATTATGTCTGATAATGTTTTATTACTGAATTTGATTAAATGAGAGTGATTTCCCATTTATAAGGTAAAATGCATGAAATCATTAATCTGGCCCTATTAAAAATTCACACGTAAAATAATTAAAACTCAAACATTAGATTGACTATTACTAAAACATGATGTATTCCTCTAAATTTTGATGTCCTCCAGGACATCACTGCCCACCCATCCCCCCAAAGGGATAGAAAATAATATTAATTTATAAGAATTTTTTTATTTAAATAATTGCCCAGTGACTTGGGAAAACAAGTTTTTATTAAGATGAAACCCAGTTCTGTGGTTGTTGTTCTGTCCTTCCACTCTATTGACACTGTCACTTGTTGGGTACTGTGAGGTTGACTAGACTCATCACAACCATGGTAGGAGTACCACTTCTTCAAAGCTCTGGGCTCATTCCCTGTTGTCCTCGTGGGGTGTTGAGCAGCTAACCATAAGGTGAGCATTTCATAGCTACCAGCAGCTTCTTGAGAAGAGGGTGAGGCCTTCTGCTCCCATAAAGATTTTTAGTTTCAGAAACCCAAAGACGAAGTTCCACTCTGTCCTATAGCTTCCCCATGAGTTAAAGCTAAGTTCACAAGATTGTTTTTTGTTTTGCTCTTTATGAGAGCTGATCACAAAGTCTTTCTCCCATGGATGCACTGAGTTTGATCCATTGACCTCTTAGCAACTGAACTCTTAACCACTGTGCCACCAAATCTCCTTAAGTAAGCTATAATTGCCTTCAAAGTGAGCCTGGACTCATATTTGCTATACAATGGTCAGTGTGTTTCGCTACTTTGGGCAGTCACTAGGCACTTACTGGAAGAATTTATTTTAGAGCCTCAGTTGATTATTTTAAAAAATGAATACATTTTACCACTTCTACTATATATTTGAAATTCCAGTTGCATTAGGAATTACATTGGGGGAAATTTTTTTTACTTACTTGCTAAAATGTAAAAGAAAATTCTAAGCAATATTGACTCTGTAGAGTGGAATCTTGCCACCCAGACACCTCCGGTCCCGCAAGATCAACACGAATAAGAAGAGAGGGAGAACTTGATATAAGCCCACTTCACATTTAAATTTTCCACTGAGCATGCTCAGAAACCATTGAAAGTCAAAGCTGTAACTCATTTGAAGATATTGAATATTAGATGGATGAATGAACAAATAATAAAAATGGTTCCTCCTTTCTCCCAAGCCTGTTGCCGTTGGATTGGTTCCAACATCCAGTGACTGAAAGGGCAGAGTGTAACTGTCCTTTCCCGTTTCCCACATTGTACTCTTTTACAAAAGCAGACGAGCGGTGGATGGGTTTGAACTGCGAAGAACGGGGACGCCAGGGCTCCTTTATTTCTTGTTCTTTCTAAAGTCCCATTTTGTTCCTTTTTTCCCGTCGGCTTCTCCTTGACTCTACTCAACAGAAAGCAATGCAAGGAAAACAGCCGTACATGCAGTCACTCGATTTTTCTGGCATAACCGTGTCACAGAATCTGAATCTACTATTAAGTGAATTGTAAGAGATACATTTTTAAATTAAAAAATAAAACCATGTTGAAATAAATTACAAACATTACATTACCTTTGAGTAGAGTTTCTTCCCAACAAGAAAAGAATACCTGTAAAGCAAAAATTCCTTACCGTGTTTAAGTATTGAAACATTTTGCCTTGCACGGGCACACATCGAGTTGCACGGTTCTCCACCCCTGCAATGTATGCAATTGGTTATTCTGCACCACGGATGTCCTAACATTCACGAATGGAGGAAGGTTTGTTTGGGTTTTAACCTTTTACTACATCTATTTTTGTAAACCGAGAAGCCTTACCTTGAAGAAGGTCATGGTGGCTCCATCCTCCACAGCTCCATACTCTATCTTGGTTTGTTTAGCTAAATCATCAGCAGAGTCAATAGGCGATTCCATGCGCTCCACTGTCAGAAAGGCGGCTAAGTTAGCAGTATACGAAGAAATGATGATAAGTGTGAAAAACCACCAAATGCCTCCCACTATCCTGGTGGAGAGCGCTTTGGGCATGAGCTCAGAACCTAACAGAGATTTGGGGAAAGGTGAAACGAATACAGAGAACATGATCAGCAGACAGGTACTTTGGGTCACAGTGGAAGAATGGAATCACTGTGTTAAAAAAAAAGAAATAATAGGATTTGCATATTGCTTCAGAAAGCCAGCAACAACCATAGGATAGGAAGTCTAGAGGTTAATTTCAAAAAACAGATTCTTAGGCTATTTGTGTTCAAATATAGTGATAGAAGATAGACATTCAATTCAAAATGATGCGACATACAATTAAAATATTAACAATACTTGGTAAAATTATCATTAGCAGTGAATAATAGAATCTCTCCAGTTTATAAACCACTTAAATTATTTATCATACTTTTGTTAGTTATGTGTTCTTTAGAAGAAATTATATAGCAAGCTTTATGAAAAGTTTCAGTTTTTATGTCCATATAGTTCAAATTTTTATTTTTCTATCTTATTTTAAAAAGCAGTGCTGTATACAAGTATAAGAGTTTCATTTGTCCATATTCATTTTAGAACATATTTTTATTCCAGTGTGTAATTTCTGTTCATTAACAAATTATCGCTCGTGTAAAATGATATATCTCCCATCACTATAGGTAGCCTCAAAAGGGAAGTAAGAATAGATAATTAAATAGCCACAAATTTATTTTACACATACATAAATCTTTCATAAATATGAGTGTATGGCTGGAGTTGCCTGTTCATGATATTAGTAAGATAAACGGGACCTGATGATTATATTTAACTTTTGATTATTCATTTTAATTAATTTAGATTTTTTTAAAACTAACAACTTTAAAATCTGGTCTCTTACCAATTAAATTCTAATTATAGTTTTACCACATTTTTTACCATTTTAATATTGAAGTGAATACATTATCAGTATGTGTAATTTGTTTTATAAGAGATGTATACTAACTGTATGGGTATATATAAATACATATATAACATCATATTACTATTCACTTTTAATCTTTTCCATCTAGAGACGTATAGGCTACAAATTACTCATTTTTAACAGAGCTTGAGTAAAATGGAATGAAGCAAGATGGACTCTGTTTCACTATTTTGTGATACAATCGTACCTTTAATATAATAACCGATGCAGTAAGGTATCACATCTTTAGATGAAATGAAAATTATGAAAATCTGCTCCTGGTAACATTAAGAGGTGGTACCTTGACTGAACTATTATATCAAAACAGCCCATCTTATATTACAGTTCATCTTACCCGTGCAATTTCAAACAAACAACCAATTTTTTAAAATGCAGACAGACTTGGACATGACAGCCAACTCCAGCTCCAGACTCTACCTACCACTCTGTCAGGAAAGAAGCAGAAAAGTACCTTTTCTGATGGAGTTGCTCCTATGCCCTGCCAGACACACCCTGGGGCACCGAAACACTACAATATTTCCAAGATGATCAGTAGCTCTGTTGCCTATTCTAATTTTTTTTTAACAACACCAAAAAATTGAAACAAGACAGGGAAAGAAAAGAACAGTGGAGACATTTGACAAAATGGCCCAATTACCACAAGTTCACATCTTACCCAAGGACTTAACAGAAACACCTGCTAGGCTTGTGAATCAGAGCCTGGTTCGGGGCTGACTGTCATGTACTCAAGGCAACGTCATGTCCAGCACTATATCCCACTAATTCCTGGGGAACTGGACATCAGCCAGGATAGTATGGGGTCCTCTTTCATGCATCCACCAGCAGTGAAGTATTATGTGGCCAAGCAAGTGTATCCTTGAATTTCTCGTCACTCACATCATCATCTTCAGAGGTTTTAGATCTAATCTTGGTTTTAATTGCTAGCTTTTATTGCTATCAAACTCATTTTATAGAGACACTCTCCCAAACCTCCAAATAAGTGTTGGGAATATGATTGATAAAAAAAGTACCTTACTTTTTCAAACAGGAAAAAAACGTTTTGTTAGGGTCAGATTTTTACTATGGGGCTAATACCCTGCAGACTATTATGAGATGCATCTGTCACACAGTACAGGCTTATATTCACTTTTATTGATTTGAAATAACTCCAGTATTAACTTTCAATGATTTAGAGTAAGTCTAAGAAGGAAACAAATGGGACCCAGAATTCAGGAAAAGAAAAATCCAAACACTTAAAACAGGGAAAGCGTATTCATTTAAACCACCTTTTTCCACAGCATCGATCTTCTTCAAGTGACTCCTAGGTTAGAGTATGTTCGATTTGAGGTCTTTATTTACTTAGTAAAATGAAAATAATACAGAATTAGAACTAGTTGAAAACAGTGCCACATGCTTAGATTTGTTTATGTCAGAGTGTTCTGATTTTTCAAGTTTAAATAGAAATATCAATAAACCTATATATGGATAGAAACATATATTCATTTTAAAAGGAAAAATATTTCAATGTATTTGGCCTTACTAGCAACATGGGCTTAGATATTACTTATAAGCAAATTCATGTTTGCCTTATTTACTTTCATTTTAGGAAGCAGTTTATACATAGACTAGCAATGAACTCATGATTTTATGCCTTATATTAAGCACATGACCACAAAAGTCTATTTTAATAAGCAATTTATAATTTAACAATAAATTAGCTTAATCAGAGTAAATATTAAATATGCCACTAAAATTTAGACTTTATGGTAAATATGGTTACTTTAATAAGGGAATATTTTCTTTTTTCCTCATTTATACATTCATTGTAAGGGTGCTCAAATTTCAGACATTTTCCTTTATTTACTAATATTAAAACTGAAATATATTACATTTTAATTTAGATAAAATAGTCCTAGATCTTTGCTGGTAAAAAAAAGGAAAATATTTTGAGTAAAAGTTATGGTATACTAATTTATTGAACTTTATGTATTTAAATATTAAAAGAAACCATAGCAGCAAGAATAAAAATGAAGCATTAAGACATATTACTATTCGTATTATGTCATTTCCAAAAGATATGATGTTTAATTTTAGCATTTATGTTATAAATTTTAAATAATTATGAAAAAGTGTTCTTGCATGCACTTCTGAACAGGCAGTAGTTTATGTTCTTATTTTACTAAATACAGGTAAATTTTACTCCAAAAGGTAATGCTAAAGGGTTAAATATTTTAAATTTACAGATCTAAATGCAATAGGTTTACTAATCATGCAATAAATACAAACACATCTAGTATTAAGAACTGATATGAAAGAGAAGTTTTACATCAAAATGAGACAAGAAACAGGAATGCTACACTGTATTCTTGTTTCAAGGAGATGTAATTTTTAGTAGGACTTTAAATGCAGCTTCTGGCTAATGGATAAGATTAGCTTGGTTATCTATGAAATAATGTACCTACTGTGGGTTAAGAAAAAAAAATAGATGAGTACACTCTATGTGGATTTGCAAAAGCTAATTGTTTTCTCAGAATCTCTCTTAGATAGGATTTGAGAATGCCTAAATGCACTAGGTAGATGAAGAAGCTGGATTATGGTTCCATGCACAGAGGCACCCATGCAAGCGACTTATGCCAGCAAGAGCTGGACCCCCAGCAAAGAGTGGGACATGGTGCCCAAGGGAAAGAGCAGGCTGACGCGTATACCTTGCTGCATGAGAGCTCCAACTCCAAACCAGAAGCTATTTAGCAAGGTGAAATTGTTTTCCACCACGTCGGAGTCAGGGTTGCACGGGTGGGGGTTATACCACTCGTAGGGACTAAACCTGGGGTAATTGACAGAAGAGAAGAATACATTTAAATTGCAGTGAGAGGAAGTTCATTCCAGTATTTTTGCTGCAAAAGAAACAGAAAGACAGGTGAGATTAAGTGAAAAACAGTTACAGGCACTTTTACAGTATTGTATCATTTGCATGGCAAGTGCTGTTTCAAAATCTCTATCAGCTAGTTCTCATACTGAGGTAGCAAATGGCATTTCTTTACTAGATCTTACACATAAGAGGAAAAACACAAACTCTGTGTCTAAGTAGACCAAGAACATTTTTTCATTTTTATGCATTCTCCTTTATAGATTTAAAAGAAAGCATTTTTAAAAAACTAGAAAATCCTTAAAAAGGAAATAAATCATTTTGACAAATATATTTAAAATTTTCTCTAAAAGTTCATAAAGACAGAAAAAGAAATACCAAATCATTTTAAGAATAGTATGCTATAACAAAACCCACCCATCAAACAAAAATAATTATTTAGCTATGTAAATGGTACTATTGATTTAAATCTCTATGTAACAAATTTAACTCCATATGGAAAATAAGTTCGAATGTATTGCATTCTAACATGCTTTCTACTATCCTGTGCTTCTGAAACCATAGAGGACATGCCTGTTGGTGTGGTATGAAAACAGTATTAGAAGCATCTACATATATATAGCTGATTTTTTCCCATTAATTATTTGGTTTAGATCCATAGTAAATTTGAATAACTGTTTTAAGATAATGAAAAGTAAATCAATCTTTGGGTCTATAAAAACATGTTATAAGATTTATTATGAATATCTCTCAAAAATCAAACTGGACATAGATCACTTATAAAAATTGTAATCTGGATATATTTATTAATTAATGGAATATCCAAAAATATCACACTCATAATTTTAAAATACTTAGTCAAATTGCTAAGGTAAAAATATATTTTCCCTACCATCTCAAATTTTAAAGCCACTCTTATAAGCCCAAATTAGCATATAACCCCTTTATGAAAGCATTAAAAAAATCTTACATTCAATCAAAGTTATTTGAATAATGTGTCTGTCACTTCAGAGAGCCCAATTTTCTTCACAATAATCTTTCTGACACATTAAAATTCAGAAGATCAAACAAACCATTTTCATCTTTCTAATGCAATTTTAGAATACCCCACTTTTAATAGCATATCCTTGACAAACAAAGAACTGTTTTGTTTGGTGCTCTAAGTTAAACTGACACAGTGAGAGAAAGGTTGATTGGATAGTAATTAAAGATTCTGATATGATTTGTTGTGTCTGAAATAGAACTACCTTTGGTTGTAGACATTTTATTTTTATATAAATCCATGTATTACTATTATCCTAGGGAGAGCAGTTTATCTGCATCTAAAAATATATATTTCCAAACCTCAGGATTTTTTATCAGACTTTATACAAAAACATAGTCTTGAAAAAATATTGTCAAATACCAATTGTAATAATACCATTTGTAATATCAAATCTCTCCCTTGGAGCCTTCTAGCCTACGAGTTAGATGGTGGCTGTGAGACACTACCAGCTATGTGCTTCTGCTCAAATTATATAACGGTGAACTCTGTGCTGGTCTGTCCACAGGATGAAGTATAATAAGACTTTGCTCAGAAAGGTACGGAAAGAATGTCATGAGTCAGCAAAAACTGCCCAGGAACTCAGTCAGAGTCAGGCCTTCTGCCCCACTTCCTTTTATTCTACCTGTGATATTGGATATTTACAGCCTCAGAAACCCAGAGTTGTGTCCTATGCACCAGAAATCCCTGCACAGTGAACCTCCTAGCTCCAGAAGATAGGAGACATCAGAAGAGCTTCAGTCAAATGAGGTGCCAGAGCATGAAAGAGAATGATGGACGTCCCAGCCCACTGAGCAAGTGAAGCTGAGTGAGTGCGCTGAGGCATACGGCTCCATGTGGAGTATGGTACCTCTGGGTCCATCAACAGGGAAGTTTACAGCCCAGTGGTTTGCCTTTTGGGCAACCTAAAGGAACTTTTGTACCAAGTCCTGATAAACAACTGCATCCTCAGGATTTTTCACTTCCATGCCAAGCTGCTAGCTTCTGTAATAAACTCTTTAATCATGAATTTTGCCTGTGAACTCTGTGTGACATTGCAATGGATCTGAGCCCTGGTGGTGTAGTGGTCATTCATTGGACTGTGGTCTGCAGGACCATCAGTTCGAAGCCAGCGGCAACTCCTCAGGAGACGGCTGGGCTTTCCATTCCTATAACATAGAATATCCAACATATCACCGGCTTCCAGAAGATTGAGCGAACCTGTCTAGGAAGTAAGTACAGCTACAATGTTCTTTTGAACCCCAAGGGGTAAGATTTTATTCTTACACACCGTGGACATACTGCCTGGGAGACCAGCCCCTAGAAAAGGCCTGACTGGTAAAGTAGAGGGAAAACACACACAGCAAGTTAAAAATTATCTATAAGATGGACTATAGAGACTGCAACATTAGTCTCAACTATAGCAAGGATTGTGAGTATGAAGGTAACGTTATCAAAATGAGAGAAGATATCTAGAAATGTCTAAATGGACTGACATTCTTGGGATATTTCTATTTTTAGTGGATAAAGATATTAGTTCTAAAAGATGAAGTCAGTTTAAATAAAGCAGTTCTCACAAATGAGCTAACTATAAAAGCTATCATACTTTGGCAGAAAAGATCATCTAATTATGGGCAAGAGGAGATGTGCCCTCCTGTAATCTCTATGGAAGGAGCCTGCCACATCTTCCTGCCACTGCTCAGTGGTGCCTTCACACCTCCACTGTCCCTTTAGCAGCCATCAGGGCTCTGAAAGAAAAAAGAGTAAACGCCAGAATAAAGGGAGATACATCCGCTACAGGATTATCACATAGGACAGACAACTGGCCCACAGCTCCAAGGTGAAACGTTTGTCCTTTTGAAGCCATGCCTCTTTGAAAACTCCATTAGGAATAGCCTTGAGAATGGGAACCTTTGGTTCTTTGAAAATCACATTTGCCTCCTACCACAAGAAAGATTCCATATAAGCCATGAGAAAATTGAATAAAATGCTCTAGAAAGGTCAAACTTAAATAATGAACATTTAATAATAGGAATATAAACTTGCACTTGTTGATTTACAAAATGTAGGTATATTATCTCATTTTTGAACCACAACAAAAGCACTAGAGGTCAGTGTACAGTGAAACCCTGTGAGAGCTGGAATCCAGTAAGTCCTCCTTATTTTTCTCCTCTCTCTAATTTCCCACCTTTGATAGCGTGTGGCTTTAACACTTTTCTATCACTCTCTACCAGCAGAAAACATCAGACATTTCCTTCTCTGACAAGTTGCTCCTTACATGCATACTGGCTTTCTCAAGCTTTAATGTTTTCTTATTACAGAATCTCCACATTTTTTAATGCAAAACCTGAAATGCAGATAAATCAGGGACCTGGCAAGGGTGCTCAGAAGCTGGATTCAGGTCTGTAATGAAAGTCTTCTGAGAAAGCAAATCCTATCTTAACTGTGACCCAGCCCAAGTAGTTTCAAAGTTTACCATCCTCCATAAAAGAACAAAAGAAGGATCTTATGATCTAATTCAGCTCTGAGCGATCTATATGAGACTTCTCTCTAGTTTTCCTTGATGCCAAGAATTACTTGCTTTTCACTGGAAATAGAAGACTTTTGTTTCATTACTTCTTGGAAAAGTCATAATGTTTGTTATTTCTTGCACATTGAGATTTTTCAACAATCAAGCTTTGGTCAAATGTCAGTAATGACAAAATAATAATTTATAAATTATCAAGGGCTCATGGGGGAGTGGGGAGTGGGGAGGGAGGGGAAAAATGAGGACCTAATGCCGGGGGCTTAAGTGGAGAGAAAATGTTTTGATTGAGAAGGATGAGGGTAATGAATGTACAAATGTGCTTTACACAATTGATGTGTGTATGGATTGTGATAAGAGTTGTATGAGCCCCTAATAAAATGATTTAAAATAAATAAATAAACTAAATGCAAAAGAAATAAAAAATGTTCAATAGAAAATCCTATTTTCACAAATAAATGCATATGGTGTCGTCTAATTTTTATTTGGAATATGAGGCCTAGTAGTATACACATTGAAATATTAAGTGATCTTAGGCATAGACAGAAAACATTTTAGTGATTCTCAAGTTAATCTGAATTGTACACTATTTTTGGAAAATTATCTTAATTCTATATTTTTATATTTCCACCTGAAATCTAACAATTTTGCACATGGAAGATAATATAATTTTTCTTATACTGTCAAAAAAGGTTATCCCTTTGATTCATGAAAAAATGCTAAAGCCCGGAGTCTCAATAATTTTTGTGAAAAATCACAGTAGCTTTAAGATGTAATAAATCATGTTAATGGAATTTAACTCAATATATTGGGGAAGAGAGAGAGAGAAAAAAAATTCCAGTGTAAACTTTTTAGTTTTCAAAAATCATTTCATGACTGTTAATCTTAGAAAAGAATATACAAAGAAGTAATATTAAAATATTTTTGTGGGCCTATTTAAACAGTGATCAAATACATTGGCACAAAACTTGGGAAAAGCACCCTATTAGACACGTGTTAGTTAGGTTCTCAAAACCCTCAGAAAAGATGCGGCTTCAGTGCAAAAATTTTCAGAAAAATGCCCTCGGCACCCTACAGCTCTGTCTGTCCAGTTATCTTTAAAGTGCTTTTGAAAGTATAAGAAATAGAAATAATTCAGCATCATGCTTCATTAAATGCATAAAAGTTATTTGAGGAAATCACTTAAATTAGTAGATCTTATGGTGTGACCTTATATTTGGCAAGTATCATTTCAATTGTTTTATATTTTTTGATTGCTTGCTTTTTAAATTTCTGAATTTTTAATACCAACTTCACCACTTCCAGTACATAGCTAATCCTACACCCTACTTTAGCCAGAAAATATGTATTGTGGCTTTGGCAACAAAACAGTTTTCAGAGCTTAAATAAGAATTTATTTTCATAAATAGGATG